GGCTCCGCTTTGTTAATGGAGGCCCTGGGGCGTCCCATCTGCACCCCGGGTCCCGCTTAGCCCTTCTGGGTGGCCCTGAGGTTCTGCAGGCAACGAGGCAGGGTCCTGCCATGGAGCGTGCTTGGTGAAGGTCGAAAATGGATACCGAGAAGAGAGACTGAGGGAAGGGCTCTCATCGGATCCGCTGCGCTCTCTCCTTCCAGGATGTCTTCAGGTGCGTTATTCCCAAGCCTGGTCCCAGGCTCCCGTGGCTCTTCGAGCAAATACCTGGTGGAGTTTCGGGCAGGGAAGATGTCCCTGAAGGGCAGCACTGTAACCCCGGACAAGAGAAAAGGCCTCGTGTACATCCAGCAGACTGACGACTCCCTCATTCACTTCTGCTGGAAGGACAGGACTTCGGGCAACGTCGAAGATGTGAGTATGGTTTTGTGTTTCGGTGCAGAGGTGCTACATCACGGTCTGTCTTGTTCTTGCTCTGCTGGCACTGCTGAAGGAGCTTCTCCAAGACAAATCAGGGTGAGGATGCCACAGTGGCCTGACCCGCGCTTCCGAATCCTCTCTGCTCTGAGGAGCAGATGGAAGGAGGTTTGGGGAGGAGGGTGGACGTCTTTGGGAGACTAAAAGGAATGTTTGTGTATTTTCTCAAACACTTGTTCCTGCTGCCACATTTTCCAGGATTTGATTATTTTTCCTGATGACTGTGAATTCAAGAGGGTCCCTCAGTGCACTACTGGCCGTGTGTATGTATTGAAGTTCAAGGCAGGATCAAAACGACTCTTCTTCTGGATGCAGGTTTGTGGGAAGCCAGTAACAAAAGTCTTGGAACAAAAGCCTTCCAGTTTGCCTCGTACCAAGAGCAACTCTCTTGCAGGAGCCAAAGACAGACAAGGATGAAGAACACTGCCGTAAAGTGAACGAGTATCTCAACAACCCACCCATGCCTGGTGCTTTGGGTGGAAATGCAAGTGGAGGCCACGAGCTCTCGGCGTTAGGAGGTACAGTCCATTCTCTGCTCCTTCACCTGGGAGGCTTTGTTAAAATTTATTTTTGGAATGAGCACTTACAGTGCCGTAGGAGGAAAATCCTGATGACTGTGGAGGGTGAGTTGGGGACAATGTTAATACCAGAAGCGTAAACGTGCTTTAAGCAAAATAAACTGCGCTGTTATAATAGGTGCAGGCTGAAAGTTAAGACTGCCAGAAGAAATCTCTCTGTGTTTCCAGCAGATTCTCTGGAGTCTTACCTCTTTATGAAGCCAAGTTACATTTATCTTTTATGAGCATCATGAATCAGTAAACACTTGAAACTGTTTTTTCCATACAGAATGTGATGCCAATTAATCTCCTGCTGTTTGAGCTGGAGTGCTGTGAAAAAAAACCTATGTGAATATGTTGTGTTTCAGAATGTTTTTGTTTTTAGGTGAGGGTGGCTTGCAAAGCCTTCTTGGAAACATGAGCCATAACCAGCTCATGCAGCTGATCGGACCAACGGGCTTAGGAGGACTTGGTAAAATGCTTTAATATATTTATGCCAAAATGGTATTTTCTCCTGCCAGGTTA